CCCTAAACCCTAAACCCCCTTTGCCCGAAACTCTCCAGGCATTGAGCTCAGGCCCTGAGCACTTTACGCCAAGACTCTGAACCCCAGGCTCGAAACAAACAAAAAGTGTAGGGGCCTCCATGCTAAAAATAAAAAAGAGCTTAACTTTAAAGGTTCGTGTTGGGAATCTATACTGGTTGCCTGCTGGCGATGCATTAAAAGTGATCATGCTTAATCCTTAATTATTGGGTTTCATAATAACAAACATGTAAAGTTGTAGCCAACAAGGACCCATAGGGGTTGAGGACTTACCTCTGAGGGGCCGAACACCACTGCAACTTGCCAATTCCGCAGCTCTTCATGTACAACCGTGGCCATTCATTGGAGCTCTGATGGAATCCAATTCAAGAAGCCACAGCAACGCCTAGGGATCGCGCCATACTCCACTACAAGGTTTAGGGTTTAGGGGCTTAGGGTTTTGGGGTTTAGGGTTGCCAAAAATCCACGAAACAGACTCATGAGACTCATTATTAGGGCACACACGCACAAGCGAAAGTGGACAGTTCTTCGTAGCTAGACCTACCGGATGGTTAGGAGCGCCAGCACGCGGTACCGCCGGGACATGCGAGCATTTGCATAAAACTTCTCCGACGCTCAGGCAATCATCTACTAGCTCCGGTCCATTCGGACAGTTCCTGAACTCTATACCCCTAAACTGTATCCAGGATGTTCGCTTGCCTTCTGGATGCTCGAGGGCGGGAACGCCTGAACACCCTAGCTCCTTAATAATAAGGCTACCCTTTTCCTACTATTCGGTTTGAATAAGCGTGCGCAGAAAGAAAGAGGGTACCACTAAAAAACCTAGCTATAGACAAGCCCAGCCCTTGTAAGCCCAAAGCCTAAACGACAGAACCCGGCCCTACATCCCCCTCAGCATTGCGCCCTAAACCCTAAACCCTAAACCCTGCGAGGGCCTCCTTTGCCTCGGGCATACATGCCCTTGCCAGCGGGACGGGTGAAGGAGCGGACCTCGCCGCAGCATTCCTGGTTTAGGGTTTAGGGTTTAGGGATGAAGTGCATCACAAACCCCAAGGCTCGAAATCACTCCACACCCAGACGTATAAACCTGGGTCTAGACCCAGATTACCAACTTCAAAGCCCTACACCACACGGTCTAAACCCTCTTCTGGTTTTTTAGGCCCCCATACCATAGAACCCTTCTCGTAACGACGATGGTCGTCCGTAATTCAACCTGGAGAAGGGCACCAACTAAAAAATAAAGCCCCCCAGTACTACGCCCGTTCCCACTTCCACCTTGCAGCATCTTCTGAAAACTACCGGAATGATGAACTAATGACGAACGCATTCAGGCTTCAAGGGTTTAGGGGTGTTTCGGGTTCGGAGGTTTGGGGCTGAGGGCTTAGAGCCTGAAGGTATGGATTTCTCAACTTCCCAAAATCTTCAGTCCCTAATCAAAGGGTTTAGGGTTTATAGGGTTCAAAACCCCCCTTCCCCTGCCTCCCCAAACAAGTCTGAACCCGCCCCTCCACCTGAAAATGAGAACCAAAACCCTAAACCCTACCTTAACCCCAATTAGCCTACCTTTTTAAGGACTTATATAGAGAATTCATAATAAGGAACCCTAGAAAGGTAGCTTCTTTAGGGTCCAGGTAAACCCTGAACCCTCAGCATCGCCTGGCGACTGGCAGCCTTCGAGGGGCGCAAGATTTCCGCGTCACCCGAGGAGGACAGGAAAATGGCCTTTCAACAACAAGGGAAAAGGGCTTAGGGTAGGACCATTGCCCTCCAACAACAAGGGAAAAGGGTTTAGGGTAGGAAAATTGCCTTTCAACAACAGGGGAAAAGGGTTTAGGGTAGGAAAATTGCCTTTCAACAAGAAAAAGGGTTTAGGGTTTAGGGTTTTAGGTTCTGAAGCGCTTTTTGGCGGGCGCAGTGCAAACTGAGCCAGGAGAGGAAGAGCGATGTCGACAAGAGGGGATACTCACTCCACTGTATCTCGAGTCTTAAGCCAAAGCTCGTAGCCATTTCTTCCGGTTTTACAATTTACAAGAGGAGGTTACAATAGTCAATGTTTGTTGTGTAATAACAAGAGAAGAGTCTGGCTGTTCAAAGGTTTTGAAGGTGTACAGTTCCGGTTTATGGGCTTAGGGTGTAGAGTAACACTCTGCAGTTTCCTTGCGTGATGCTCTTCTACATGTCGTGTGCGACATGTAGTGACGATGTAGTGTGCAAGATTTTTGGTTCTAACTACAGGGGATGTCCCGAGGAAATCTTCAGGGTGTTCTGCACTCGCTTGACCCACAAATGTTCGCAGAACCCTGCCCACTGGCAGTCATAAGTGTCAGGTTAGGGTCTCGACTCTCACACTCGCACAAGGCCGGCAAGGCTCCACACAATCCCGTCAAGGGCTTATGCCCAGAGACTCCAATATTCCTTAATTAAGGAATATTCCTTAAATCATATTCAGGATCCTACTATAATTTAAGGAATATTCCTTAATTAAGGAATAATGGAGTCTCTGGGTGGTTAACTGTGAAACACTGGTTTGACGCTAAACTCTCCAAAACTTGTGGTTGCCACATAGCAAGCCCTCACCCCCTCTGCCCTCCTCGCTAAACCCCATGACATGGCAACAGACTAGGTTGCCAGGATGCACTATAATGAGGAATATGCCTGAAACCATATGAAGAAACGTTAGACCATTTGATCAGGCAAATACCCTCAATCATATGAAGAGGCCCTGAATAAGTGAAGGCGAAGGTATATGGCTTCAGTGCGCCCTTCTGATCCACCTGCAGCTCCTGAATATGGGGCCGCAGCAATAGTTCTGGATATATTAACAACGCGGAGAAGCGCTAAGGATTAATGCTTGCCAGTGTTTAGGCTGCAACATTAAGCCCTAAAAGCCCAAAAACTAAACACTAAGCCCTACTTAGGCTTCTATGTTATGCTTATTGTCTTGCGAACGTCAGGAAGAGTAGGTCGGCGTATACTTAAGGTGCAAGTTCTACGAGCAAGCGATATAGAGGAGCCTTAAAAAATGGAACAGATCTTGGGCCATAATGTAGTATAAGTTATTTGTTAAGGTTCGAACCCCAAGGGGTACTGTTGATAGTTATTCCGATCCCTATAGTAAACCCGTCACTACCAAGCACTGAACTCTTGCCCGCCTCCTCTGTGGAGTCTTGCATGGTGCTGTGCAATCGGCTGCAGGTTTGTCTTTCTCTGACGTTAGGGGTTAATTTTCAAGATTCCTTGGGAGGCTTGGGCATCATCGGCAAGACCTACGGCCACTTGACCGTTGGAATGCTCGGTACTTCCAGCTGACCTCACGCACATCCAAGAGCCTAAACTTTACCCAAAGCCATACACCTAAAACCCGAAACACACAGTCATTACTGTGAACAGTCGTCAGGGGAACAGTGTGGCATCTGGCTCCTATTGTGCAATTGGAGTTGTTCGGCTTTCGATTGTGGGTCTGCTTTACATAGGGCCCTCGATGATTAGACCCGGATCTGGGTGCGTTATAATCGGACTATGTGCAGGAACTCTGGGGAAGAGTATTAGTGACTATTCCGACCCCTAAACTATGATTAGGAAAGGTCTATGCACAGCCCCTGATGTTCGAGCCCAGTGCAGCGGCAAGACCGGGCCAGAGAGGGTTACTCGATCAACGAAGCCCCAACCAAAGAGCACAACATCCTCTCCTTTACAGCGTGGGATCGTATGTGGGATCTTGTTTTAGCTTACCACTATAAGGAACATGGTGTGACTACGACATAGCCCTATGTATACCGTAACCCAGTAATGAAGCTGAAGGGAACATGCAACTATGGTCAGGGTAATCTGAACCGTCTTACGTTAACTGAGGGTCCATAGTGTATACCCTAAACCCTAAACCGTGGTACAACAAAGACAGGGTTGGAGTTCCCTGGGACAGTGCTGCTCTGCACGCGGGCGGTCATGGGACGGTACGCCGCGGTACGGTTAAACCCCTAAAACATCCTAAACCCCCAAAGCCCTAAAACCCTAAACCCCCCAAAACCCCAAAGTCCGACGAAATCTGGGCAGGCGAGCCCTGAAATCAGAGGATCTTCAATTTGCCTTCCGCAGGACCCGATTCGAACCCAAGGTTCTCTCAGAAACTCTAAACTTTAGGGTTTAGGGTTTAGGGCTTAAGGTCTAGGGGTTTTACGGGTTTAAGGTTATGCTTAGGGTTTAGAACCCTAAACCCCTAAACCCCAGACCCTAGACCCCTAAACCCTGTAAACCCTGCTTCAGAAGTCTCGGGGGTCGCCTTCCGCCGTTTCTGAGCTTGAGAATTCAATTCCCGGACCGCTGTTCAGGTTGGAATCAGAAGCCACTTCCCTTCAATGGGTTTAGGGTTTAGGGCTTAATTCAAGTCTTCCCCCTAAAGGGTCGGAAAATATACAACCCCCCACATAGATATAAGTCTATACTTTGACCCCAGAAATGATAAGGTCCCAGGGCCTATCGTAAGTGCTTATATAAGCATTTTTTGGTGTCTGA